GATATTGTTAAATTATGCATTTATTTATGTTTCTACACATTCTGGTGGGTAAATACTATGATAAATGATATTATTTAAATATGTAATTATTTATGTATCTACACATTCTGTTGGGTAAACACTATACATATATGTTAAAAAAAGTTTATTTCTGTCACTTTATATACATTTGTACTTGTAGTTATAAATTGTATTTGATATATATAGTACACTTGCACTACATCATGTAATGCTTGTAATGTATATGTTTTGTTGATATGGGCCGGAGGCCAAAATCAAATAAACCTTTCGTCATGGTCATTGTCATTGCCCTCAGTAGTTTTAGAGATATTTAGTTACACCTTAAAACTAAACCAAAGTGTGACACTGACGCCTTGGGGTCACAATTACTCTCCCTATTTTTGGGAAGTGGAACTGAAAATTAAGAAATACAACCAAATGAAAACGTTTATTTTTCAAGTAGGGGATTAATGTAATTTTTGGCTTGGAAAAATTAATTTTAGTAACACAGACAACAAACCAAAATAAATCCTGTTCATGTAGATATATTTCAGATATACTTACTTTTAACGTACACGTGTCATTTGCAAAAAAATGTTTCTGCCTTGTTCCAACCCTAATACGATCACCTCGACATTTTCTTTTCTCGATATTTTTGGATTTTCCGATGACTTTCAGATATCGAAAGTCAACCGACATGTTTTATGAAGATATCTGTCTCATGTAGTATCTCATTATTGCTGCACTACTTCCTAGTTTTAATAAGTCATGACGATTTGGTTCAAACATATCAATTTAAGCTTGATTGCTAACAAGGTCTTGCATCTTATATTATTAACTTTCGAGTCCGCTCCCTGTTACCAACCAGTACTGTTGTTATAAGAAGAAACATGGTCGTGACCCGATAAGGGCTCGAACCCATGATCCCTGGGTTAAGGGGCAAACATATTAACCACAAAGCTAGGCTCCCCTCAGCATGACCAGAAAAATATAACAACATTGAATTGAAGAACGTGGCAATTTTTTACGGCTGCCACACAACACTTGACACCTGCTGTTGTGATATATACATATCAGGAAAAAGTGATCTCTCGAAAGCATTTAAAACAGCACAATTACATGAAAACAAGATATGTTTGCAAAACATGTATGCCCCCTATCGGCAGCCAATTTGTCATGTGATCAGGTTATTATGCATGACTTCTGACCCAGTGAACAAGCAATTAATAAGGGTTATCTAGTATCTACTGGTCATGACTTGTCACAATGTAACAATTATTGTGACCCCATAGGATGTGAGCTGCAATTAAAGTTATTAAAAATCTAACCAAATAATATATACATAAATTTTATGAATCAATACGCCTCATTAATGACAGCCAAGTTGTTATATTACTTAAGACTTTCAAATGTGTATACCAAAAGCACATACAAATATCAACAAGGCAACTTGAGTTGTTGAATTATTGGTCAGAAACGGTCATTAAGTACAAGGTCACTATGACATTGACCCCTTGACCCAAAAAACAAAAAAATCAAAAGGGGTCATCTACTGGTCATGACCAATCATCATACCAAGTTTGAACTTCCTAGGCCTAAGGGTTCTTTAGTTATTGATCGGAAACCGTTTTTACCTAAAAGGACAATATGACCATGACCTTTGACCCCTTGACCCCAAAATCTTTAGGGGTCATCTGCTGGTCATGACCAATCATTATACCAAGTTTGAAGTACCTAGGCGTAGGCCTATTTTAGTTATTGAGCGGAAACAGTTTTTACCTAAAAGGTCAATGTGACCTTGACCTTTCACACTGAAATCAATAGGGTCATATGCTGGTTATGACCAATCATCATACCAATGTGAAATTCCTAGGCCTAAGCGTTTTTTAGTTATTGATCAGAAACCGTTTTTACCTACAAGGTCAATTTGACCTTGACCTTTGACCCCTTGACCAGAATATCAAAAGGGTTCATCTGCTGGTCATGACCAATCATCATACCAAGTTTGAAATTCCTATGCCTGAGCGTTCTTTAGTTTTTGATCAGAAACTGTTTTTACCTACAAGGTCAATGTGATCTTGACCTTTGACCCCTTGACCCCAAAATCAATAGGGGTCATTTGCTGGTCATGACCAATCACCATTCCAAGTTTGAAGTTCCTAGGTTTGAGGGTTCTTTAGTTATTGATCGGAAACTGTTTTTACCTTCAAAATCAATGTGACCTTGACCTTTGACCCCTTGACCCCAATATCAATAGGGTTCATTTGCTGGTCATGACCAATTATCAAACCAAGTTTGAATTTCCTAGGCCTGAGCGTTTTTTAGTTTTTGATCGGAAACCGTTTTACCTACAATGTCAATGTGACCTTGACCTTTGGCCCCTTGACCCCACAATCAATAGAGGTAATTGCTGGTCATGACCAATCATTATACCAAGTTTGAAGTACCTAGGCATAGGCCTATTTTAGTTATTGAGCGGAAACAGTTTTTACCTACAAGGTCAATGTGACCTTGACCTTTGACCCCTTGACCCCAAAATCGATAGGGGTCATCTACCGATCATGACCAATCACCATATTAAGTTTGAAGTACGTAAGGGTTCTTTAGTTATCACTCGGAAACCATTTGTTCTACGGACCGACGGACGGGACGGACCGACGGACCGACAAGTGCAAAGCAATATACCCCCTCTTCTTCGAAGTGGGGGCATAATTACAGACTTGGTTTGATTAAGAATGTACATGAGGAATAATGACAAAGTGCAACATCTTTCACAACCCCTTAGCAGTCTCAATTCTTAAAATAGATTAATACAGAATCCCTAAAGCAAGCCCAACACGGCAAAATTGAAAATGTTGCAGGCTCGGTTTGATTGAGCCTGTTCAAGGACGGTACTGGAAAGTGCAAGTTACCGTCCATGCCCCGTACCTCCGGCTTAAGCAGAATTCAACATTTAATTATGCAATAGTAAAATTTTGAATTTAGAAACATCCGCAGATGTGTTAATAGGCGGTCATCATGGAACCTTCAATGTGACACTTCCGTGCCATTCCACGAAAAGCGGTTTATGGTCCCCAAGTAATAAAATGTGTGTGCCCTAAACGAGAAAACAATGGGCAGAACTAAAAAAATGGAATTTCGAAAGGGGATCAGAGGTTATGAAGCCTGCATATAACACATAAAAAGTGCTGGAATCACTTATCCTGAAGAGCTCAGTGGTCTTTTTTTTAATCTTAAGATATACCCCAATTTTGATATCATTCAATGCAATCTTGATCACAATAATATTAGTACTTAGTATATATTATATTTTTAGAAAATTGATTACTCAAACTCAGTTAAGTGTTTCAAGTACATCATGACAGATTTACATTTTAGATATTGTTTTCCTTTCTTCTTCCACGTTTGGAAATCAAGATCACTTCAAAATTATTCACGCTAAGGTTATTTCTTTTTAAAACTAAATAACATACATGTAGTTGTATTTTAATGTATAAAAATTATGCAAAACACTTACCATTATTAATATTTTAAATGAACATGTTCATCATTTAATCTGCCTGACATAATTTACTAAATACCGAATAGTGCACACCAAATTAGAAAGGCATGTATTTACCGGTTGAACTGGTTCTGCACTGTTCGCATATGTACTATAAAATCATTATTATTCGTTGGGCACGAATTTTTGTGGTTTTCGTGGGTAGGTCAATCCACGAATTTAAGATCCGACGAAATTTTATCCCAGGAAATACTTCTTGCAATGTCTTTGTTCTATATATTACAAACATGCGTCTTTTCGGGCCGATTTACGCGAAATGGACGTATATACATATACATACATCTAACCAGGTTAGTGACAGATTAAATCCGTATATATTTAATACAATATTTAAGGAACTTGAAAGAAAACTCAATTATATGTCCTCAATTTACTGTCACAAATGTCGCATATACAAACTTGATCGTTGTTGATTGTGTTAACAAGAATACTTGACATAATCGAGTAAATATGGGAACACAGGCAATCCAATAATTAACGCTTATAAAAAATGTTAGTTTGCTCTTATACATTAAAAAAAAGTTTTTGATATTAACACTATAAAAATACAATCGCTAAAACAGATGAATTGTACATTCTTTTGTCGTTTTTAAATGTTCCAGTTTAAATGAATTTTAATCTGTACTTGTGCGAATGCTACTGTATTCCGTAAACATCAAAGACGCCACTGACTTTTTCAAGATCCTTACATACTCGTGTTATTTACTCAGATTAATTTATATGCATGTTAATTTACACAGTCACTGTGACGTTGTGAGTAGTTACAGGCAAATATGGTAAGACAAATTCAGGGTGTAAATTTTTTAACTCGCCAGGTGTCGTATAAATTATGCGATGTTTATATTGGCGAATTACATGGGCAGTGTGACTAATGGAGGTGCATATCATACATGTGTAAATTGCAGCCGATTATCGGCAGTAATTGTGATATATTACAGTTATGGCCAAAGGCAAGGATTAAATTTATTGTGACATGATTTATACATGTTGTAAGTTTAACTGTTCGGCGATTAACTTTTAGATTACTTTGCATTAGATTACTATTTTTTTGCATGAAAATGAAAATCCACGAATTTAAGAACCCACGAAAATGTTCGTTTTGATAAAACCACGAAATTTTATGCCCACGAATATAAGTGAATTCTCAGTATACCATACAAGGCTTCCATAAGTGGAAGTTTGGGAGTCATTTACTCCTGATTTTGACTTGTGACTTCACAAAATAATCATTTTTCTTCTTTACCTAATAATATGACTTCCAGAGTCTGCTGTCACTGTCTTCCAAATTTTTTAAACTTAAAGGAAGCCCCAATCATAATTATATTTGGTTACCGCCAGTAGGCTTAGACATGTAAAGTAAATGTGTCAGCCGAGTTAAAACATTATATATTGCATTCTTTTCCCTGATAAATATTGTAAAAGCTAAAATGTTACATACCTCTAACCCAGTTGTTATTTATGATGATAGGACGAGAATGTTTTCGTGTGCCTTCTGGTAAGTTATACCACTGTCCATCAGCATAAATTTCCAATGGTAAAATCTTGTAACTCACATTCTTATACCTGAAAATGACAGAATATTTGATCTAATAATCATCACCTGAGGGTGGCGTTCATTGAACGTCGCCTTTCCTTTTTGATCTTGTAAATCATATTTGGTACAGAATTGGGTGACTTGATGATTTTTGTATTTTAGAAAAGGTAAGGTTAACTTAGATTGTAAACACTTCAAACCTAGGGTAACACTAACCTAACACTTCCAAAAGTTACGAAATTTCTGAGAAACTGGACACAAAACTAATTTTGGGGCTTTATATAATACATATTACATTATATCATAAAATTCTATATACACATTAACTTTAAACTACCAGCTGACAACCTTAACAGTAAAAGGTTTTGTTGACTTTATAGCAAAGATTTTTTGTTTTGCTCGCCATTCATTATCAAACTCATTGATAAGCTGTGTCTGCAGCAAACGTAAATACTTATCTCTATTACCAAACCTTAAATCAAATTCTTTAAAATGAAGTTATAAATGATAGATTGAAAAGCCATCTCAAAATACCATATGCTTTACTATCTTTTTGTGAAATTAGTTGCTGTTTTCGGAAGTGATATTTTTAATTTTTGAAAAAGATAAAAACATACTTTTCTCTGATCAATCTAGAGAAGAATTGTTGATCATTTTCCCTTTCAGAAACTGGTGCGTTGTCTAACTTCTGGCTTATTCGCTCCCCAAGTGCGATCATCTCTTCTTCAAGTTTTCTCCACAAAGCCTTTGCCTTGTCTGTAACACATAACCAGAGAAATCCCCCGGCAAACACTCTAGTGTTTGTTCTTGCTACAGGGTTGACTAGAACATCAAAACCCTTTATCTTTTGTAAATCTGGCACAGGGTTTGATAACCATAAAGAATCTACTTCAAACAGGAATACTTCTATATTTGCCATAAGTAACGAAAGAATCAATTCAGTTCTTTTTATCATGATTTTAATGTATCCGACCTTACTGTACGTCTGGTCGCCGTGTAATTGCATATTCATCGCTACCACACTTATATCTGGCCAATCCTGCGTGAGATTCTCTTTTGACACTTGGTCTAACGTGATGATCAAGACTGATTTATGAATTCCCATAGTTTTTGTATTACACAGCCAGCTATATGTAAACGGTAAATAAGCATCATTAACCGTCGTAACAAGAACTGTTCTATTGTAACCACTTATTTTTTTTGCAATGACCAACAAATCATTTTCTCCCTCGATAACATTATCACTTTTACTTTTCGTTGACATTTTTTTAGCCGAAGTCGGTTGTGTTATTTGTGAATTAAATCTTTTGTTTTTTGATACGGTATGATTAACTCTTTCCAAAGCATCAACTGATAATTGTTTCGACTCGGAATTATACTTACTGACTGTCATATATAAAGCTGTGCATATAATTGCAAGTCCTATAGTCATAAACATTTGCTTGCCCCGCATCATTTTTGACCGGTGGTACGTCCTGTCAACATGTGAGGTGGTATGCATATAGTCGGTGTCGCGTTTTACCACACGCGTGTTAATATTAACTTTGAATCACAGTACGGTCTTAAAGTTACACCAAAATAGTTAAATCATACACCATTTTATTTCAACATGAATACCCAATCTAATGGTATAACTTTGTAGAATTAATATATATTCTAACACACGGGATTGTTTTATAAAACATGTATTGCAGCGATTTTTAAATAACAACCTTCTTTGTGATTTTAAATATTGATAATAGCTATGCGTGTTTGTTATATTTGTCCAGGGATGTAAGTAGACAATCATTTATATGTCATTTTTCCTTAATTAAAATAACATGCTGTTAACAAATCGAAGCGTGTGAACGTCATTTATTGAATAAGAAAATGGTTATCAATAAAAGTGCAATTAGATAGAGCTACTTATAAAACCAAAATGTATAAATTGTTTTAGAAATTAGAATAGTGCATGGGTTCGATTTTATCGCACCGAAATAACAACGGTCATGCATACGAAATCATATTTAATTTGATCAAATATATTTGATTTATGTATAGTATAATACCATTTTCTCCGAAATCAATTTTGTGTCTACATGTGTCTTCAGCTGTAGATTTATGCAAACTTTTATAATGTTTTGATGTTAAACAAACTTGATCTCTGAAAAAATGTATAAACAGCCCAGCGGCATGTTTTTTTATATTTAACAAAACAGACTAGAATTAATAATATTTTTTTTCCAAAATGAATTGTGTCAAATTATTTTTTTTTAAATATACGTTTGTGTTCCAACACACAGGAGCATCTTGAAAAAAATATTTGAAGGGAATTGAAAAAAAAAAAAAAAAAAAAACAACAAAAAAACAAGCAAGCGTCTGTTCATAATTATGTTTTGTTTTTTCTTAGATAAATTATACCTGTTCTTCATGTCGAAAAATATTAATTAATGATAAAGAAATATTTTTAAGTAGATCGAAATTATCAGTATCTATCCTACTGGTTGAATGCATAAAAGTATTGATGCATGGAGGTGTCACTTCTTTTAAGTTCGCTTGGCTTGAAAGTTAACCGTATGCACTAAAACACGAAACATACCGTTTGAAGTGTTCGCCATTTCTTATATCAATTTATTGACAAATAGGAGTGTCAATAATTCTTGTATAAAACACATAATCTATCACCTAAATCTTTTACCACCTGATAAATCTTAATTGGAATAATAGCTTAGTGCTCTGTGGGTGTAGATAATGGAAAAGTCAATTCTTACATTTCTTTTTTTGTTTTTTGTTGTTTATTTTCAACAACCCGTGAATTCCATTTGAGAACAATGTATACACACATACACATCCAACAGGTGATAAATGGGCAACGGAAAAATATATGTACAAATGAGCCAAAATTGTTTAATGTGTGGCAAATAGAATTCAGAGTAATTGATTATCAACAAAGTTATGTTCCTTTATAAAACTACCACATTAAATAACTGTTCACGAGTGTAATTTGTATTTAGACTGTATACATTTATAAAGTTATTTTCATATATTTAGTGCTTGGAACATATTAATACATCCGTAAAAGGAAATACAGTTTATTGTTGTATGGTAACCACGGTTTTTGTACGGAAAATTCCGATAAATTGCGAAATGCAAAAAATTTTCTGTTGATCTCAATAAAAGAGTTCTCGCCCCTTAACAGACATTGTTTAAATTGTGTAATATATAATGTGAGATGATCAAACATAATCAACAAAGTATCAGACACCAAATTTTATTGAATAAAACACTTTAAAATGGAAGTCAGCTCAGAGTAATAACGCCATGCGAGCGATAAATCATATAAGGCACACTTGAACAAAATCCATCGTGTAATTTTAAGTTGGGAATACAAAAATAATCTATATTGAATGACTTCTATTAAAAGGTAATACAAAAAAGAGTTTTACCGTAAATAGCTTGTATAGAACGTGAAGAAATGTCTCTTATATACATGACGGTATATGACGTTAACAATTTAATATTACAAAACAGAAAGATATATGGCTTGTGCAAGTTAAATAGTTAACACTCAGTGAAATGTTTAGTCACTACGAAAGTTTGAATAAAATAATGCAAAGTGGAATCAATCATAATGCAAGTTCCAATGTCATCAAGCAAGATAGAATAAATGCATAAAAACTGTTCCATAAAAGGTTAAAGGACATTCACGATACTTAACGCTCAACATTATATTTCTCATTAAATTCACAACATGCTTATTTTTGTTCACTGTCAAGTTTTTCATTCAAAACTCTTACTGTTATTATGATTATTGAACAGAAATTGATAAATATGTAGCATTCAATATAAAAAATGCTTAAAAGATAAAACACTAACCCCTTCTTCTTACAAATTGAACATTGACGATAAATATAGAAGGTTATTAAAAGATATTTAAGGTCAAAGGGTTACTGATTATTCAAGCAACATTAACCATGAAACAAATTTTATAATTTAAATTTTACATATGTTCAATAGTTCTAACAATTGATAAAATGGTTCTCTTCTGTGACCAGCGTGTGATTATTGTGCGGTGACGTAATAAAGACACGGTTATGGGTAGTGCCGTTATAATCTAATCACACGCACGACTTTAAAATCAATCATATTATCCGATTGAAAATATTTTCTTCTAAAAATAGTTTTGCGTTTAATGGTAAACGTCTTTTAAGAATACTACTATTTGTACTCTTTGTATTATTACCACGCTTCGTTAAAATCACACCGTTGAGATTAGTGCCTTGATAATCACACGTACGGTCTTATATACACTCCAAATAACACGAAATATATACCATTTTATTTCAAAATGAATTCCGCATCTAATGGTATAACTTTTGCACGAATGCTATAATTTTCAAAAACGCAGGAATGAATTTAAAAAGCAAATTATACTCGAATTTTCATACGAGTCGTCAAATTCATATGAAAACATATAATTGTGTTTTTATTTTTTTTTTCTTGTAGATTTTTTATAAATAAAAAACCCAAAAAGATATTTGATTTAGTGCGGTTTGATAAAGTGCTCAAGAGTATATTCTAAATCAAAGCACTGCAAGCACTAAGGTATACATTGCTTGACATTACGGTCTCTATTTGTGTAATCAAAACCATGTTGCTTTTGACTGACCTCAAAATCAATAGAGGCCATCTTCTAGCTACTGTCAATGTCCCTAATAAATAAGACAAACCTATGCTTATTTCTTTTCAAGTTATTAATGGGACAAGGAAGAGGTTTCGTTCGTTTAAACTGGGGCTGTATTTTGCCAGACAAATTAAGATACTAGACTATATTGTTTGCTTAACTGAAGAGCAAAACAGAAATCAAGTTGCGAAACACCTCTCCATTATCTACAGCATACAATATCGGAATAGTAAAATGGAGTTTTCAGTGTTAAAATGAATTGAATCATCCAGCAAGACGAAAAGTTACATGCATAACACACACACTGTAAAAATGCACGCCATAGTTTTTACAATATACATATAACGAAAACCTATAACCACCTGGCAGAGCGAATTTTGACCCCATGGCTATAATTTCAAGAATCTTGGTCAAGGTCTACTACACAAGTGAAGGCTTCATGCCAAATATCTAACGTCTAGCCGTTGTATATTCAGAGGAAAAGATTTTTCAAAATTTTACTTGGGGCGAATTCACTATTGCCCATTATTTTAACAACTATGGTAGAGGATCTACTGATGATATTATATACCAAGTATCAAAGCCTTTAACCTTCAGACAAGATGATTGAAAAATGCTATATACATATAACAAAAACCTATATTAATGACCCCACGGGAGAGTCTAATTTTGACTCTAGGGCTATAAATTGAACAGTAATGGTCGAGTTTCGATACACAATGATTCATGACAAATACGATGAGCATTCAATATTTAGTGACGGGCCTCATTTTTCTCTTAGTATATTTCGTGAATCACGTGCAAAATTAATAATGATACGCTTTAACTCTTTATCTTTCCAACGGTGTACCATACATGTATCCCAATTCACACACGTTTTACGAAATTTAGTGTTGAAAGTTGAATATTCGATCAACTGCGTATAAAATATGCCGGGAAAGATTCAGTAAATAATGTTGAAATTCGAGCTTACATCAAAGCGCGTATGACATTTAAGTTAAGTGGTGCAACCATTCATAAAGAACTTTGTCACATTTACGGACCATCTGTGGTTAGTGAAAGGACAGTTCAAAGATGGTTTGTTAACTAAAGTATGGAGTCACTAAACGATGCTAGTGGTAGGGGTAAAAAACACACAGTGGTCACCAAAAACAACATTAAAAAAGTGCAAGAACTCATAAACAAAGAAGCTCGATATACAGTTTCTGAAATTGCTAAGTATACTGGCATTTCAACGGGAAGTACATTTACGATTCTAAAGAAGCACCTCAAAGTAAAGAAGATTGCAGCCAGATGGATACCACATTTATTGACTGAAAAGCAAAAGCAAGAGCGTGTAAAATGTGCCAAGAATTGTTGAAGATGTTTCCCAAATATAACGATCGTAAATTTTCTAACATTGTAACTGGAGACAAAAGCTGGTTCTACATTTTTGAGCCCACACGGAAGGTAGATAATAAGATATGGGCCACTAAACATACCTGTAGGCCATGTATAGCTAAAAGAATGACTAGCACAAAGAAGGTTATGTATGCCATGTTCTTTGGTATACATGGTGTAGTGACACAAGTTCCTATTCCAAAAGGTCGTACCGTTACTTCAAAGTTTTACAAACGAAG